CGGAACTTTTTCCCACATTCGGATAGCCAATGAAACCGACGCTGATCTGCTGTCGCTCTTTGTGCAGCTGAAAACCACAACGGATCAAGAGAAATGAATCTGAGTAGTAGTTTACAGCACTAGTTTTAGAATAGTCCAAAATGTTCCAAAAATCAACATCACAAGAACAAAGTGAAACGTTTTGATAACTGCCTCGCTGTTTAGGCTTGAAAGCAGTAATTAATAAATACGGAATACTGAAACGTACATAAATACCGCAACTAACCGGAAATTAAAGTTTTACAAAAACGCAGGCAAAAAACCATAAAATGATTTTCGAGACAGGTTGGTGCAATTCTTTTGTTCATAACATGAGATACTGCGATCCAAACAGTTCAAGCGCTACTCTGTATTTTATAATTTCTATTGTTTTAATGAACTGAGAAAAGGACACAGTTCAAAATAATGTTTCTATTGTTGAAAACTTGGAATCCTAATCTGACTGAGATGCATTAACTATAGTGTTGCCAGCACCCGAAAACCTGTAGTTACGAAGTGGTTCGGCAGGCGGCGACGTAAGTCGCAACGACGCAAGCCGAGATAGAAAAGTTCATACAATTCTATACAATGGTGACAATTGGTTCCGGACAGTCAGATGGATCAATAAAATGCAACAGTTGTAGGCGAATTATAACGCTTCATTGTAAAATTACATGACCTAAAACTAAATGAATATAAAACAGTTCTTAGTTAAAGAAAAATAGTTTTACAAAATCAAGCAATCAGGCGGGCGAAAATTTCTTGATAACCGGCGATCGCATTCTTAATGCCTTCTCTAGCAGTTTCTGTTCGATCTTCATTCAAATTGATTTCTTCTAGTGCCTTCAGACCGGCGTCAATCAGTTCAACACCTTCAATTAACTTTACTAGTGTAATCGTAATTATCCGTTCCGGTTCAGCCTGTTCAACTTCCTCGACTCTATTATGGTTATGAATTTGTATATCACTTTGTGTGAGTTCTTCATTACAGAAGTTATACAGCTCCATAACATCTTTAACGTCAACCTCCAAATCAAACTGTGAACCAAGAGCAATCATATCTTCTGCTGCTTTAGCAAACGATCAATTTCTGGAGCCGTGATCAAGTTTCGATCAAATAAGAATGTACAAAGCACCGTTCTTTCGAAAAACTTCAGCCGACGAGTCTCCAATAAATCTTACTACATCCAGAACATTAATAGCTTGCCAGAAATCATTCAGTGTCATCTCACTGTTTTGGTTTATAACTGCATTCAAATGAACAAAGGATCGTCGTGTGTAGCAAGCCTTAAATGTCTTGTAATCAAACTTGTTGTTTGGGGCAAAAACACCACTTTGTCTCAGAGATCAAAGTTCATCAAAGTTTCTGAAGAATGTCTTAGAGCATTGCTGAGAAGTAGCAACACTCTGACAGGCAAGGTCTAGAGGGACTATAGCACTAAGGGATAAAATGTTGGAAAATCAGTCTTCAAAGACAGAAGCAGTGATTAAAGCGTGGGATATTCGTATCACTGGAAGGCAGCTTTTGACTTATTCTTCACAACTCCAGGATTCTTGGGCCAATTAGCAATTTAGCTTCAATTTGCAATCACCGGCAGAATTTCAACCAATAATCATGAACTAATCATTTATCACTGTAAATTCCGGAAAAGCTTTCCCTCGAGCTATAAACGTTCTTCTATGCATCTTTTTCAAAAACCGCCCGATGTCGACATTAAAAATGATCTTAGAGTAATACCGGCAATCCTCTATTATTTTAACTTTTTAGGAAAATAAAAAGCAGCTTCTTTACCTGCACTTGCCAATCACAGCGCTGCTTCCGATCCATGCAATGCCGTGCCAAACACAGCGCTATTTAAATCTACTGAACCAGCCATTTTCGGCTACAAAAGCTTCGTCATTCTCGATATTTCCAGATTCCTTATTTAGCCTCTGAAAAATCAGTCTGGCTTCATTGTATATGGTACTTTGATCTATAGGTCAACACTTTACTTTAACTTCGTCATTCCACGAAATTTTTAGGGAAGTTGTCCATTTCAGAAACAAATACATGACAGTAGACTGCATTTTGCAAAAATCCTTTGTTTATCCTTGATTATAATCTTCGTAGTGGCGTGAACAAGGTTCATTTCCATAGGCACATCGCAAGCTTTCAATCTGCTTTGGAAAAGCTTATTAATTTCTAATCTGTTTTTTAGTCAGCATTTTTCTTTTCTTAGTTGAAGACGAAGATACTGCTTGGTTTCGTTTTGAAGACCGTTAATGGGTTAAATTGGCAGGCGTTCAAAATTTATATCGGCATAACCTAAAGACAAAAAACAAACTCCGCACTCTGACATAGCGCACATGCATTGACTACCCTTGGTGATGCGGGGGTGTAGGTAGGAAAGACTCGGACACTCGTCCGTACTCGTTCATCTCGTAGAATTGCCAAATAAACGCATTATTTTAATTAAAATTTATGCTCACTTATTATTTAAAATATACAAACGACGTAAGCATGAATCGAAAGCATAAGTCGAGGTAACGTAAGTTCGGAGTATTACTGTACTGCAAAGATATTTTTTATTTAAAATAATGTTGTCTGACAATTTCAGAAATAAACTTTATCTGCTATGCTAATTATAATTCAGTCATCAAGTAGGTCAAACGCTC